CCTTAACGCCATGCCGTTGAAGTGCGGGTGGAAGGGGCGTGTGGCCAGATACGCTGAACTTGGAAACCTGTGCAGGTGAGGTAGTAGTGGCTCCAGTTCAGTTTCCGAGCCTGAAGGTGCTACCGAACCTGGTGACACCACCGAGCCTACATGTTGGTTCGGTACGGGAGCACGTTGGCTTGATTCCGTGGCATGAGGCATGGTGTGTGGAGCAGTGCTGGTGTCGCTGCTGCTGCTGCTGCTGCTGCTGCTGCTGCTGCTGCTGCTGGCGGTGCTGCTGGTGGTGCTGCTGGTGAGGCCAGAGGCGGTTGAAGAATCAGAGACAGGCAGCAGCCAAGGAGGATAGGTGTGCATGACAACGCTTCTAACCCCTGCTCCTACCACTTCTCCTGCTGCTCCTGCTCTCGCTCCTGCCACCGTTCCTGCTTTGGATACTGCTCCTGGTTTAAACACTGCTCCTGCAAAACCCAGCCGGTGCACTCTAAGGGGCCCTGAGGGTGGGTGGTGACGAAGTGGGCGATGCGTGTGGTAAGAGTGAGTGAGGGAGTGAGTGCGGGAGTCAGTGAGGGACTGAGTGAGGGAGTGAGTGGGGGAGTGAGTGAGGGAGTGAGCGAGGGGGTGAGTGGGTGATTCCGCGTGTGTTACAGGGGAAGTGGGTAACGAACTGAGTAAGAGGAGGAGGAACGGGAGGAGATTGGTAATCCTAAGGAAGAATAGGCTTTTCCCATATGCAGAGAGGGGTCTTCCTTTCTTCCCTGCCTTCTTGCCCCTGCCGCTTGTGCTCCTGTCGCTTGGATAATTACCCTCCTGGTTACCTCTCGAGTTACCCCTATGGTTACTAGGTAACCCTCTTCTTCTGAGGCCGCTACAATTGGGATGCCATGAGCTTGTATCAACCCCTTTCCCATTACTGTTGCTACAGCTGCTCCTGCAGCCACTGCTACAGCCACTGCTGCCCCCGCTGCTACAGCCGCTGCCCCTGCTACAGCCGCCGCTGCCACTCCTCCAGTGGTTACCCGTCTGTACACCTCGTAACACTCTGCTCGTGCGACAACTGCTACAGCCGCTGGTACAGCCACCATTGCCACCCATCTGTATACCTCGTACCTCTCTTTTCCTGCGACAACTGTGATGACACGATTCGGCTGTACTGTTATGGTTGCTGAGGCGGCTGTTGCTGTAACTGCTGCCGTTAGAGCTGCAGTTACCATTGCCGTTACAACTGTTACTGGTGGGACTGGATCTGTAACTGAAGCTGCAACGACAGCTAGAATGCCCCACGCTACAGCCGCCGCTGCATTCTGTGACGTCACTGCTACAGCTGCCACTGCTACAACCGCAACTGCTACCATTACACCAGCTGCAAATCCCCATGCTACAGCCGCTATTGTCACTACTCGAGTGCGAGCTACAGTTTAACGAAAGTTCCCCATTAAGGCTATTCGCCTGCGAGCTACAGTATCTACAGTATCTTACTGTTGTTGAGCTACAGTACCCACAGTTACACCGTCCATTGCAACATGTAAGGCGTCTCACTTCTTCATGTGCTAATACTACCGAATCACTATCTCGTTCTATGCAACGACGCGGGTGTTCTAATAACGAGCTGTTTTCGTGCTGCTCCCCTCCATTACCGTCCAGCATATAATTTTCTTCTCCTCCTATTTCCTTCGTTGCAACTTCCCCCTGCCCGCCCCCTTTCCGCCTACTCATTCCGCTAAGCCAACCCCGCACGAAATCTCCGCCACCTTCCGCCAGTACGGTTGCACCCGCTAAAGGCCCCGTGCCTTCCGCCGATGCGCTTCCCGCTTGCGCTGCCCTCGCAGTCCGACGAACCGCCGCCGAGGACAGCAGTGACGCGGCGTCTGATCGAACGACACCCACGTGGCCACCACACGGCACGTCTGGTCGAACGTCCACGTGCCTCCCATACGCCACGTGTTCTCGTGAATCCACGTGGTTTCTAGAAGCGGCATGGGTGGTCATCCTTCGTTGCAGCTCCAACACTAAAAACGATTCTGCTCCTCTCGAATCTTCCGCCGGCGTTAGCTCCGATATAGAGGCGTCCGGTTGTAACTCCCTAAGCTCACCCTCTCCTGCTTCTATCTGCCACTTTATTCCCCACCTAGGCGTGCTCGACGTCATCCCCCTTAGAGTCTCGTTTGAGTTCCACATTACGGGACTTTTTCTTCTGCCGGTGTAGTTTCCGTCGGCTATTCTCTTCTGACATTCCTATTCGAGGTCAACTGAAAACTACTTCTGCTACTAACGAGGTACAGGTTTAGGCTGGATATCCTTACTGGATGTTTCATAGTTAGAAATGTATGTACCCCAACTATCGGCGACGTGTCTACGTTTCCGTCCTCTGCTTGTCTGTCGTCGACTTCGGTATTCAAATGAAAACAAGCTAACTGGAAAATACTCTCACTATTGTCAACGCCAAGCTACTACTGTCTCGGGTGACTAGTAACGAGTCGCAGCGAAGCTATGAGCGAGTCGTCATAGGAGGAAGAAACGGCAAGGCTGGGCATGCCGAAAGCGGCCCGAGTAAGGCTGCGCTAGAGCTCGAGGGAGCCGCGAAAGAGAGAAGGATAGGTAGTAGCGACTCGATTTGCGGATAGAGATGCCACACACACACTATGCAGATGCTTGCTAACGAAGCAGGAAAATGTCGACGCTTGGGTCTGAAGCTGAGAGAGAGTGTGCTATAGAGAGGCAGGGCGACTCGAAGTGCGGATAGGGATTTCACAAACAAACAGATGCTTGCTAGCCAAGCCGGAAAATGTCGACGCTTGGGTCTGAAAACTGAGAGTGTTTTAGAGAGAGGCTGGGCGAGTAGGAGCTGGTGGGTTCGGGTGAAGTTCCGTGGTGAGGGGTTCCGTAGATGGGATGGGAATGGAACGAAGCAGGGAAGGGAAAAGCTGGACAGAAAAAAGGCGCGAAGCTTGACGGGGAGGTATGCAAGTGGGAGTAAGGGAAAGAGCGAGAGGCCGAGGGAAACGAGGAGCAAGCAAGTGGGGAGGAGGGAGGAGCAGAAAGAGAGTTGAAAGGAAATGAACGGGAAGGCTGGCCAGTTCAGGATAGTTTCAGGTGGAGATGTTGCGGTGATGTTTTGACTGGGAACAAGAGGGGAGTAAAGAGGTTTTCAGAACAGAAGTAAAGAATTTGACATGGTTTAAGTTTGGTTGGGACGGATTCGAGCTGGTGAACTCTGGGGTAAGAAGAGGGTATTCTTGTCCGCACCGCTTTAGCCGTTGCTATGGCGGGAGAGTTGGGGTTGAACTGAAGAGTAGCGATCCGTATACAGAGAACCTGAACGAGCCGAACCAAAATCACTCTTTCGGCTAAACATCTCCATTCATGACAATCATCCCACTACAACTACTTGAAATACTGTAGGTGTATGAAAGTTTGGAACAATATTAGGAGTTTCAGCTGAGTGAGAACGCGCATTAAAGCTCAGAACAGCCTTGAGGGGAGGAATCAACCAATCAATATCGTCAGAACGGTCGCGACGGCGGGGATCGGTGGCGGCTCCAGAACGTGCTCCCAGCTGGTTGGCCCCTGGCGACAGTCATATTGAATGCGAGCCTAGCGAAAGCCTGGCGAAAGCATAGGCTGATGTGGCGGGTCGAACACAATGTTTATACAATCACAGATATGTTGAATTCATAAAAGAACGAGACCAAAATATTTAAACGAAGAACTTTGTAAACCAGCTCTGTTTGATATCAATGAGCAGTATCTCACTTCGGCAATTTCAAGGGTCAGATTCTGCAATGGTGAACATCCACGGTGGGTGGGAGCGATGTTAAAATGCCTTCCGAATATGTGTTAATCGTCGCGTTTGGATGAACACTGGACCTCCAGATCCCTCCATGTAACTCTTTGCCTAGTCGCTCAATACCTAATTTCTAGTCTGCGGCTGCGCCCGCGCGTGCCTAATCGGGTCTATGGAGTCTGAACACGAACCTATGCCGGAGGCCGCAAAGGAGATTCCGGCAAAAGTAGCAGGAGCAACAGAAGCAAGGGAAACAGCGACATCCAATTCGCAGTTAGTTGAAATGTCAGCGCCAGGAGCGGCAGGAAACGCGTTACAGACGGTAACCGACGGTACCTCTCCTGTTTCTGACGGAAATCAAACAATAAAAACGGAATATGCTTCTGCCAGTGGAAATCAGCCTTCGGCTTCTGAGTTAACTCAAAGGTCACCTCCGAAAATAAACTTCGTGCGTGGTTTGTCCCCGGCGGCTTTTCACCCAACTGAAGGGTCACCGTTAAAATCTGGAGTCGTGGGTGGGCTGACATCAGGGGAGAAAACAGACTTCTGTACACTTCCGCCGTCGCACACACCCGAACCTGATCGCGAAACCCTAGCGGAGGCTCGGGAGGCTCCGGACCTGAGGTTCGGGAGTAAGGGTCGGCGGTGTGGGTTGAGGAGGGCGAGCAGTGGACGATCTGGTGGCGATCTTTCTAAAGCGGCTACAGTTGCTACAGTCGCTAGTGCTGACGTGGATGGAAGAACCTGTACGGAGCATAATGGCGGGACTGAGGAGAAGAGTAAGGAGGAAGAGGAGGAAGGGGAGCAGGAAGAGGAGGAAAGGGAGGAGCTTAATGCGGGAATACGGGGAAAAGAGGAGAAGGAGGAGGAAGAGAAGAGGGAGGAGGAAGAGAAGAGGGAGGAGGAAGAGAAGAGGGAGGAGGAGGAGGAGAAGGACAGGGAGGAGGAGAGGAAGGAAGAAAAGGAGGAGGAAAGAAGGGATGGTGCAATGAAGGGTGCAGAGAATCGTGCAATAAAGGGTACAGTGGTCGCTGTTACAGGTGTGAGTGGGAATGCTACTGCCACAGCATTGGTCGACTTGGCAACTGCCGCAAGGTGCAGAGGCATGGGCGTGAGTGCAAGTGCGAGTGTGAGTGTGTGTGCGACAGTGAGTGTGAGTGATGGGAGGAAGGCGAGGGGTGTGAGTGATGGAGGAGGAGATGATGCGAGGTGCAGAGGCATGGGTGTGAGTGTGAGTGCGACAGTGAGTGCGAGTGGTGGGAGGAATAGAAGGGATGAGGGAGGGGAGGAAGCAGTTGAAGGGGCGGAGGAGGCAGTGGTGGAGAAAGCAACAAGCGAGGGGGGAGGAGCAGGAGCAAGTGGGGAAGCAGGAGAAGGGGAAAAGGTAGCAGAGGAGGGGAAAGAAACAAGCGAGGGGGGAGGAGAAGGAGCAGGGGGGAGCGCTGCTGAAAGGGGAGACTTGGCGGAGGAGAGAAAGGGAGTGGGGGAGGAGCAGGGGGGAGCAGGTGGAGGGGGGAGACTGGACGAATCAGAGGAAGAGGGAACAGGAAAGGAGGAAGTGCGGGCTGTTGCAGGGGAGGAGGGTGCGAAAAAGGAGAGAAAAGGAGGAGGCGCGGAGCAGGGGGGAGGAGGCGCGGAGCAGGGGGGAGCAGGCGGAGGGGGAGCAGAAGAGGAGGAAGTGCGGGCAGTTGCGGGGGAGGAGGGTGCTGAGGAAAGGATCGAAAGAACTAGGGGGGAAGAAGTGGAAGCAGAGGAGGAGGAAGTGCGGAGAAGAGAGAGACGAGGAGGAGAGGGAGCAGCAGAGGAGGAGGAAGTGCGGGCAGTGGCGGGGCAGGAGGGTGCAGAGAAAAGGAAAGAAAATGCTGGGGGGAAAGAAAAGGAAGCAGATGGAGGAGGAGAGGGAGCAGAGGAAGGAGGAGAGGGAACAGAGGGAGGAGCAGATAGAACAGAGGGAGGAGCAGATAGAACAGAGGGAGGAGCAGATGAAACAGAGGGAGGAGCAGATAGAACAGAGGGAGGAGCAGAGGAAGCAGAGGAAGGAGGGGAGGGAACAGAGGGAATGGAACAAGGAGTTGGGGAAGGAGAGAGGGAAGGAGGGGAAGCGGAGGCAGGCGAGGGGGGCGGAGGGGTAGGAGAGGCAGGAGAGGGGGGAGGAGGAGGAGCAGAGGAAGGAAGGAGAACTAGACCGCAAAGGCAGAAGAGGACGAGGGGGCTAGGGGGAGATGATGATGGTGATGGAGGATTAGAGGGGGGAGAAGGAGCAGAGGGAGGAGAGGGAGCAGCGGAAGGAGCAGCGGAAGGAGCAGAGGGAGGAGAGGGAGCAGCGGAAGGAGCAGCAGAAGGAGCAGAGGGAGGAGAGGGAGCAGCAGAAGGAGCAGCGGAAGGAGCAGAGGGAGGAGAGGGAGCAGCGGAAGGAGCAGCGGAAGGAGCAGAGGGAGGAGAGGGAGCAGCGGAAGGAGCAGCGGAAGGAGCAGAGGGAGGAGAGGGAGCAGCGGAAGGAGCAGCGGAAGGAGCAGAGGGAGGAGAGGGAGCAGCGGAAGGAGCAGCGGAAGGAGCAGAGGGAGGAGAGGGAGCAGCGGAAGGAGCAGCGGAAGGAGCAGAGGGAGGTGAGGGAGCAGCGGAAGGAGCAGCAGAAGGAAGGAGAACCCGACCACAGAGGCAGAAGAGGAAAAGGGGGCTAGGGGGAGATGATGATTCGTACGTGTGGGGGTTTGTGGGGCGCGGGTGGCGCAGCGCTGCTAGTAAGTCCGCTGGGGGAAAGGATGGGGGGAAGGAAGGGGGGAAGGATGGGGGAAAGGATGGGCGGAAGGATGGGGGGAAGGCGGGGAAGGGAAGGGGAGGAGGTGAGGAGGGAGGGAAAAGAGGGAGAGGAGGGGAGGAAGGGGAAGGGAGGAGGGTGGGGAAGAGAATGAGGGGTGGAAGGACTGGGGTAGTGGGCAAAGCTTCTGGCGCCGCTGCTGCGGGTGCCACTGCTGCTGGTGCTGCTGGTGTTGTGGGTGGTTCTTCTAATGTCATTGGTATCGCTGCTGTTGCTGCTGCTAGTGCCGCTGCTGGCAGTGCTGCTGGTAGTGCTGCTGGTAGTGCTGATAGTGGTAGTTTGCATGGAAGGGTGGGCCATTTGGGCCAAGTGTCAGGTTTATTCACATTCAGCCAAGAGCCACAGCAGCAGCAGCAGCACCAGCAGCAGCAGCAGCAGCAGCAGGCAGGCAGGGCAATAGGAGGTTTCCGCTTCCCTCTGCTCTCTCTCCCGCTCTCCACCCAACTCCACCCACTTCCACCCATCTCCACCGCTTTTCGGCCGCCTCTTCTTTCTTCCCTCTCTCCCACGCCCCCTCTCAACATCCCGTCCTCTCTCCCTCCCCCTCGACCTGCAACCCACCCTCCCCTGCTCCCCTCTGCTCATCAAACCTCTGAACCATTTCATACCCCTCAAAACCCTCTCATGGCTGCTGCAACCCACCCTACTGCGCTTCCTGCTGCACCTCCTCCTCTCCCCGTCTGCAATGGGTTTCAGCACGGAAATGCAGCAGCAGCTGCTGCTGCTGCTGCTGCTGGCGCTGCTGCTGCTGCGGCGGCTCCTCTCGCTGCTGCTGGCACTTCTGCTGCCACTGCTACCTTTCCTCCTCCTCGTCCTCCTCCTGGTGCTGCCACCGCTGCTGTTGCTGGCAGTTGTGTTGCAGCTCTCGCCACTGCTGTTTCACCTGCCACTGTTGCTTCACCTGAGCTTTCACCTGAAACGCTGCTGGTGGTATCTGAAATGAAGACAGCCAGGTTACTTCTACTGGTGAGCTATGCACACATGGCATAAGTCAGATGTCACATGGCACATAAGGCATGTCACATGGCACATCTCGGATGTCGCATGGCACATGGGGCATGGCACATAAGGCATGTCACATGGCACATGTCGCATGGCACATAAGGCATGTCGCATGGCACATGGGGCATGGCACATAAGGCGTGTCAGTCAGATGTCACATGGCACATGTCAGATGTCTCATGTCTCATGTCTCATGTCTCTGTTAGATTATACTACTCTTCTGTATCCTGCATTGATCCTATAAACCCTAGGATAGAGATAGGCACCCAAACAATGTTTGGGTGCACAACTAGGGTTAACCCTAGATGGGGGTTGGAACCCAACCTTGGCCCAATTATTGGACCCCAAGGTTGGGTTGGAGGATTATTGGCCCCCCCAATAATGTTGGCCCACTTTTGACCAACATTATTGGGACCCCCCAATAATTCTCCAACCCAACTTATTGGTGGGGGCCAATAATGTTGGCTAGGAACCAACCACCCCCCCTTCCTTAGCTCCAACTATGTAAGCCCTCATCATTCCTAATCAAACTATCGGTTCAATTCTCACAGTCTCATGGCACATGGCACATGGCACATGGCGCATGGCACATGGCACATGGCACATGGCACATGACGCATGGCACATGGCGCATGGCACATGGCACATGGCACATGGCGCATGGCACATGTCAGATGTCTCATGGCGCATGGCACATGGCACACGGCGCATGGCGCATGACATTTCGCATTCAGTTCAGTGGGTGTTCAGTGGGTATTTATGATTTGTAATAATCTGTATAATCAATCATTGATTGCATTACTATAGTCGTCGGCTGGTTCCCTTACTTCCTCTCACTTCCCCATGCGCTCGGGGTGTGTTTTGAGGCGCCTCAAAGCATTCCTCTCACTTCCCCATGCGCTCGGGGTGTGTTTTGGGGCGCCTCAAAACATTCCTCCCACTTCCCCATGCGCTCGGGGTCCTTCTGATGCTGCCACTATTGCCCGTGGCCTGCTGACTCTGGTGCAATTCGAGGTGAGAGCGTGAGAGGGAATGATTGTCCCTTTCTCATCTGCCCGACCCCTCACCCCCTCTCTCTCCCCCATGCGCTCAGGGACCCTCTGATGCCGTCACTGTTGCCCGTGGCCTGCTGTCTCTGGTGCAGTTCGAGGTGAGAGAGTGGCATTGTTGTCTGCGGCAAGTTCGAGGTGAGAGAGTGGCATTGTTGTCTGCGGCAAGCGCATGTATGTCACTGTTAGCCTGTCTGTAGCACACCTTAGTACGGACGGATGGGACGAGGTGACTTTTGAGTCGACTCAAAAGCAAGCGCATGTATGTCACTGTTAGTCTGTCTGTAGCACACCTTAGTACGGACGGATGGGACGAGGTGACTTTTGAGTCGACTCAAAAGCAAGCGCATGTATGTCACTGTTAGTCTGTCTGTAGCACACCTTAGTACGGACGGATGGGACGAGGTGACTTTTGAGTCGACTCAAAAGCAAGCGCATGTATGTCACTGTTAGTCTGTCTGTAGCACACCTTAGTACGGACGGATGGGACGAGGTGACTTTTGAGTCGACTCAAAAGCAAGCGCATGTATGTCACTGTTAGTCTGTCTGTAGCACACCTTAGTACGGACGGATGGGACGAGGTGACTTTTGAGTCGACTCAAAAGCAAGCGGATGTATGTTACTTTTGGTCTGTCTGTAGCACACCTTAGTACGGACGGATGGGACGAGGTGACTTTTGAGTCGACTCAAAAGCAAGCGGATGTATGTTACTTTTGGTCTGTCTGTAGCACACCTTAGTACGGATGGGACTAAGGTGAGACGGGACGGATGTGAGACATAGTAGCCCTAGAGAAGGAAGTTTTGTGTATTTCGAAGAACCCTCGTGTTTTTCATCACGTGAAATTAGAGTGTTTTTAAGATGTCTCAAAGACATAGTAGCCCGAGCAAAGGAATTTTTATGTTTTTCAAGAAACCCACACGATTTTCATCCGGCATTGTGCTTTCTATCGCGCCCATCGGTCCTTTCCCTCATTCCCCCTGTCCCACTCCCAGGTTCGAGGCCTGCGAATCGTGCACAAGCTCGGGTGAGTTTGTTCAGTGCTGTGCGGTGCTGTGCTCTGTGGGAGTGGGATTGTGGTGCCTTGCTGTTCTGTAGGTGGTAGGTGCTCTCGATACGGCGGTGACGTGCGGTGCTTATTCTGTAGGTGGTAGGTGGTAGATGCTTATCACTGTACAATCTGAAGAGAGGCGTCGGGGAGAGCAGACAGCTTCGGCCTGGTTAGCATTTGCTTATTCTGTAGGTGGTAGGTGGTAGATGCTTATTTCAGTACAATCTGCTCCTTGTAATGCTTTGTAATGCTCCTCCTCCTTCCTCCCTCCCTCCCCCCCTTCCCTCCCTCCCTCCCTCCCTCCTTCCCTCCCTCACTCCCTCCCTCCCTCCCTCCCTCCCTCCCTCCCTCCCTCCCTCCCTCCCTCCCAACCTCCCCCCTTCCCTCCCTCCCTCCCTCCCTCCCTCCCTCCCTCCCTCCCTCCCTCCCTCCCTCCCTCCCTCCCTCCCTCCCTCCCTCCCTCCCTCCCTCCCTCCCTCCCTCCCTCCCTCCCTCCATCCCTCCCTCCCTCCCTCCCTCCCTCCCTCCCTCCCTCCATCCCTCCATCCCTCCCTCCCTCCCTCCCTCCATCCCTCCCTCCCTGCCTGCCTTCTTGCATCGCTGGCTCTACCCTTCCCCAGGTCCCCCCTCCCACATGCCATGCACCTTTCTGCCAGCTTATCAAACAACGGGCTCCTACTGCTCTGACGTCTTCCCCTCACCTCCTCCTTGCATCCCTGGTTCCACCCCCCAACCCCCACTTTCCCAGGTCCCCCCTCCCCCAGGCCATGCACCCGCCAGCCTATCAGAGTGCAGGCTCCATCCGCTGTGACGTCTGCACCACCTCATGCACTCGTCTACCCCTTACTGTCATCGGCCCAACAGACATCCTCCAGTCAGACGTGGTGAGCTGGGGAGGGGTCTTGTGGTGTAACATCTGCACCGCACTGCACCTTGCATAACGCAGCAGGTTATCCGCTGTGACGCCTGCACTGCACCACCTCATGCGCTCGCTCGCCTGCCTTTAACTGTCATCGGCCCGACTGACATCCTCCAGTCAGACGTGGTGAGCTGGGGGCCCCAACTCTCACGTAGTGTAACATCTGCACCGCACTCCACCTTGCACAACACAGAAGGCATCCGCTATGATGTCACCTCATGCGCCCGTCTACCCCTCACTGTCATCGGCCCGACTGACATTTTCCTCTCAGACGTGGTGAGCTGGGGGTGTCATGTATGTAGCTTTTGCACCGCACTCCACCTTGCAGAACACAGCAGGCTCTGTCGGTTGTGATGTCTGCACCACCTCATGTGCTGCACCTGCTGCACCTCTGCTCCCCACCTCCTCCTGCTGCCACGCTCCCTGTTCCCTTCCTTTCCTCCTGCCCCACGCTTCTTTTCCCCCATTTCTCCATTTTCCCCCTCAGCCCCTTGTGAAGGCCTTGCAACTGCACCTGCTGCACCTCTGCTCCCCACCTGCTGCTGACACCCTTCCAGCAGCAGCAACCCCGCTTCTCCCATCTCCCCGCGCCTCTTGTGCTCTGCTCTGCTCCCCACCTGCTGCTGACACCCTTCCAGCAGCAGCAACCCCGCTTCTCCCATCTCCCCACTCCTCTTGTGCTCTGCTCTGCTCCCCAACTGCTGCTGACACCCTTCCAGCAGCAGCAACCCCGCTTCTCCCATCTCCCTGCTCTGCTCCCATTTCTCCTTTTCTCCCCTCCTGGCCTCTTGTGAAGGCCCTGCGCCTGCACCTGTTGCACCTCTGCTTCCCACCTCCCAACTCTCACTCCCTTTTCCCTTGCTTTCCCCCATTCTCTCCCATTTCCCTCCCCTTCCTCCCCCCATTCCCCTATCAGCCGCTTGTGAAGGCCTTACGACTGCACCTGCTCCACCTCTGCTCCCCACCTCCTGCTAACACCCCCCCCCCCCCCCCCCCTCGCTTCTTTTCCCCTCATCCCTCCGTTTCCTCCCTTTCAGCCACTTGTGAAGGCCCTGCGACTGCACCTGCTGCACCTCTGCTCCCCACCTCCGGCTGTCACCCTCTCAGCACCGCCATCGGCAGCAGCAGCACCTGTAGCGGCAGCAGCAACATTGACAGCAGCAGCTGTAGCAGCACCATCAGCGGCAGCAGCTGTAGCAGCACCATCAGCAGCAGCACCTGTATCAACAGCAGCACCATCAGCAGCAGCACCTGTATCAACAGCAGCACCATCAGCAGCAGCACCTGTATCAACAGCAGCACCATCAGCAGCAGCACCTGTATCAACAGCAGCACCATCAGCAGCAGCACCTGTATCAACAGCAGCACCATCAGGAGCAGCACCTGTATCAACAGCAGCACCATCAGCAGCAGCACCTGTAGCAGCAGTAGAGATTCCTGCAGCAGAGGAGCCTGTAGCGGAACCACTTGCTTTGAATCCCACAGCTTCTGTTCCTCCCTTAACAGACAGTCTGATGAACGGGCAGATCAACAGGCAGACGAGCGGGCAGATGAACGGGCAGATCACGTACAGGAGCAGCAACAGCAGCAGCAGCGTCTGTCACATAAGCAGCATATGTGTTAGAACAATCCCAGACGAACCTTTTCAAGTTCGCGCCTCCCTGCGTTCCGCTATTCTCGAGAGGACCGCACAGCCCTTGCTTGCTTCACGTGGCAGTGAGGGGGAAAGGGCATCTGAGGCGCCTCATAACGTCCGCGCCTCCCTGCATTCCGCTGTTCTCGAGAGGACCGCACAGCTCTTGCCTAGCTTATCCATTAGGGAAGATGATGAGAGCAAGGGGATTTGCAAGGGAATGGAGGAAGACAGAGCAAGAGAACCATGTCGCGAGGGGGGTACACGTGGCAGTGAGGAGGAGAGAGGGGATCCACGTGGCGGGTTGACGCAGTGCCAGGTGTCAATGCCAGCATGGATGTACCATGTGAGTATGCCACATGTGCATGCTCTGAGCTTGTTCTTTCTATTGTTACCCGCACTCACACCGACGCTCCCCTCCCCCTCCCACCGCACCGCACCGCACCGCACAGCCTGCTGAGGCTCAGCATCGTGGGGTTGGTGAGTCGGCCACACAACCATATCCCCTTAACCGCCAACCCTCCCTCCCCTTCCCTCCCTCCCGCCTCTTTACAACAAGTCATCTCCAGCCGGCATCGACGCCAACGCTCCCCTCCCCCTCCGACCGCACCGCCTGCTGAGGCTCAGCATTGTGGGGGTGGTGGTGAGTCTCAGGGAGCTTTTGAGACTTCTCTAAAACTCCCTGCAGGCTCCGCATCGAGGGGGTGGTGAGTCGGGCCGGCCACACAGCCAGAACGCCTTGACCTCCAACCCCCCCTCCCCTCCCAACTCTCCACAACCAAGGTTCAAAAATACGGTCGTCTTTTTGTAATGTTACCGTAAATTACGGTATCCTGTAATAGGCTCCTGTGAGAAATCGTAGAGCGATTTCAAAAATACAGTCGTATTTTTGAACCATGTCCACAACAGATCACTCGCCAGCCGGCCTTGACTCCCACGCTCCTCTCCCCCTCGCACCGCCTGCTGAGGCTTGGCATTGTGGGGGTGGATGGATTTTCGGTGCATGCGGCTTCAATAACACCCCCCCTTTCCCTTCCCTCTCCACAACAGGTCATTCGCCAGCTGGCATTGACGCCCACCCTCCCCTCCCCCTCACACCGGCTGCTGAGGCTGGGCATTGTGGGGGTGGATGGGTTTTTGGTGCATGCGGCTTCGATTGCAGGATTGGCACCTGCTATAGCAGCAACTGGTGTGGTAGCAATAGCAGCACCAGCAGCAGCGCCGCCAGCAGCAGCGCCGCCAGCAGCAGCAGCAACAGCAGCAGCGCCGCCAGCAGCAGCAGCACCAGCAGTGGCTGTGGCAGAAATGGCAGATGCTGCAGAAGCAGAAACCGTTGTTTTGTCACTGGGGGATGTGGCAGGAGTGGCAGATGCTACAGCAGCAACGACTGCACTAGTACCGACAGCAGCACCAGCTGTAGTAGATGCAGCAGGAATGGCAGACGCTGCTGCAACAACGGCAACAACGGTACTAGCAGCAGCGGCACCAGCAGTAGCCATTGCAGGAAACTCAGTTGCTACAGCAGCAGAATCTGTGGTTTTGTCGCCGGGAGCTGTGGCAGGTACGACAGATGCTGCTGCAGCAACGACAGCACTAGTACCGACGGCAGCACCAGCTGTACCAACAGCATCAGCACCACCACCAGCAGCAGAAGCAGCAACAGCAATAGTAGCAGCAGAAACAGCAGCAACCGCAGCACCAGCAGCAGCGCTGCCAGCAACAGCATTCCCACCAGAAGAAACGGCAGGAAAACCAGCAGCAGCACCAGCAGAAACAGCGGCAGCAGCACCACCAGAAGCACCATCAGAAACACCACCAGAAACGCCAGCAGCAGCATCAGCAGAAAAACCTGCAGCAACACCATCAGAAACACCAGCAGACGAACCAGCAGCAGCACCAGCAGAAAAACCAGTAGTAACACCAGCAACACCACCAGCAGAAAAACCAGCAGCACCACCACCAGAAGCACCAGCAGCAGCACCATCAAAAACACCAGCAGTAGCAGCAGCACCAGCACCAGCACCAGCACCAGCAGAAACACCACCAGCAGCACCAGCAGAAACACCAGCGGTAGCACCAGCAGAAACACTAGTAGCAGCACCTTCAGAAACACCAGCAAAAGAACGAGCAGAAAAACCAGTAGCAGCACCAGCAGAAACACCAGCAGCAGCACCATCAGAAGCATCTGCGGCAGCACCTCCAGAAACACAAGCAGTAGCACCAGCAGAAACAGCAGCAGAAAAAACAGCAGCAGCATCAGCAGAATCACCCGCAGCAGCAGCAGCAGAAGCAGCAGAAAAGGCAGCAGCACCGCCAGCAATAGCAGCACCAGCAGCAGCACCCGCAGCAGCACCAGCAGAAGAAACAGCATTAACACCAGCACGTATGACAGTACGGAGTGCAGGTGCAGCCTTAGCAGATGCGACTGTTGCAGGTGTGACAGTACAGAGTGCAGATGCGACTTTAGCAGGTGTGATTGTACAGGGTGCAGGTATGGAGGAGCTGCAGTGGTGGCTGCGCTCTGTGCCGGCCACTCGCAGCGAGCGACTGGCCTTGGAGCAAAGGAGGAGCAGCCATACCACGGAATCTTTCAAGAAGGAGAATGGGGGGGCAGAGGACGAAGTGATGCTTCATGGGAAGGAGAATAAGAGGGCACAGCAGCAGGTGATGATATTTAGTGAAAGGGAGGTGAAGAGGCGGAGAGGATCGAAGGAGGTTGTGGGGAATGGGGAACTGGGATTGCAGGGGGGGGAGACGGCTGGTTGTGAGGAGGTTCAAAACGTTGGTTCAAGGTTTCAGGGAGAGGTGAAAGAGGTTCAAATGAAGCCTCTTTCAGACCTTAGACAGATGGTACTGTACCTAGACCCCAGGGACATGATGACTTCTGGTGTGATGGACCCACACTGTCTAAGTGACCTGGTTAAGAAGCACGCCCGTGCTGCCATGAGGCCAGTGCCCCGGTGCATGAGGCGACGAAGGAAGGTTGTGAAGAGAGAAGAGGGAGTAATGGAGGGAGTGGTGGATGGTTGATGGACAGAGGGGAAGCATGCCCATGCTGCCATGAGGCCATTGCCCCAGTGCATGAGGCGACGAAGGAAGGTTAGGAAGAGAGGAGAGGGAGATGCGGAGGGAGGCGAATGGCAAGACCAGTAGAATCGCAGGCGGTCGACACTGAACGCATGCTTCGATCAATGTGGTTTCCTTGTCCAGTTTCTTGACGACGCTCTTGGTTTTGAGAGATCTCTACTTGCAAGGGCTTCACTATTTGGTATTGTTGGGCTCGGTTGTTTTTTTCATATGCTGCTTTTTGCCACTGCCCCATAAATCATCCCACGGCGTCCCATTGACTAAGGGTACATTCCGCGCTTGACATGTCCCAATCGAAAGTGTCTCAATCGTTTCTACCGCACTGCATAGTATTACACCGAATTGCACCCTAGTTTCGAAATTTTTGCGTCTCTGGTTTAGTTTGGTTCGGAGCGGTACACTCGATTGGGACACATCGATTGGGACAGTGTCCACAGCGGAATGTACCCTTACTAATGTACTCGTTTGCACTCACATGCTCTCTTGTGCATTCCGTTCACTCCATAAGAAGGGTGATGAGATGCACGGACAAGGTGGGCTTAGTTACAGGCGCTTTTCGCGACACTCGCCCAGCTTCAGGTGGAATTTTGGGGCCGTTACACACCAGGCCCATGTGATCGCGATCAGGTTGTCATAGTAGCGAGGAAAGCACACGTGGCTTTGGTGGTATGGGCCGGGCCTCCTGAAGTGGCAGTGAGGAGAATGTCAGTACCGAACCGCGAAATCCTTTGTGGGAAGCTCGAGAAGGCGAGTTTGGTGGTAACTATGATCCACCTGTCTTGGATGCGCAGCGTTCAGGAATACCATTGTCATTGATCCTGTAGGGCTCCTGGTTGGTTGCATTAGGCGAAAGCGGACGTCTGTCGTCAGAAAGAGACGATTAGCGAAGAACTACGAGACTCGCAAGCGTGACGAGCTGCGCCCTTGTTGCCCATCTCGGTTTAGTGGGTCCAGGCTGTAAACCTCTTGCAAGGCTGCCACGTCAGCCCCACCATCGAATCTGCAACCATTTCAACCAACCAGTATTCGTCACCCCGCGTCGCACTCGATTCGTGCCCGAGAGTGGCGCAAGCTGCAAACCACTTGCACATCCTGCGCGCAACGGTCCAACCATGGCATGACATGACATGACATCCGCTTCTGGAACGGAGCGGAGCACCTGACCTGACCCGATGTCAAGTGTACGCGAGGCAGCTCAGGAAGAGCATTGTATGTGAAACGCAGCTCGATCCATTTTGCGCAGACCACCCGCCCCTGCCCCCTGCAATTCCGCCGTTCCGAACGAGCGCATTCAGCGTGGTTGGCAGGGATTGCGTTGCATCCCACACCGACCTGCGCCCGTTCGGTTCCCCCCACCTTGGGACCTGTCATAGATTTCATCCCGTATCACCTCAAATTGCTGCGCATGTACATTACCGTTCTGGAAGCACCTTACATTCAGTAACACCTAGTATAAACCGCTAGAACCGAGATCGAACATCCAAGATGTAACGTTGAGCCAGGATGACATACAAAAGGATCATCCTACCTGGATAACTATGCGGGGGCCACCATCCACCGACCAATCTCCAAGGTAGTTTTCACCTTCCTCAGATGGAGTCTAGGGACTTCAGAAAAGAATAATCACCATTCTCGACCAATGCTGAGGAATAACCAGCACCAACCACCACCACCTTACAGTATTCAAAATCCATCTCTCTCGATCTCGTTTCGCGAGCTTGAATCAGGCCTTTTTTTTCCGCAGTGTCACTCCTCCTTCCTGCTGATCACAGGAGACAGACAGAAGTCCTCTCATGTCCGCATTGTTCGCCTAGCTTTCTCCTTTCCATCAGTCACAATACTTTCGCTAACTCTCTCGCTGGCACCGTGTTTCATCGCCGGGAGGTGACTAATGAGTTGACTTATTAACACAAGTGCTTCAGGTGTGTCTTCCCTTCACATTTCGCCAAGATCCTTTTTGTTTTAAAATGACAAAATAGATTTAAAAGTCGAAACGTGTCTCACGGCAATCCCTAAATTCCCCGTCGTTGACTTGTTCAGGCGCGTCAACAAGTCAACATTCTGTTTACGACAGTTTGCAGCAGCCTGCTTCGACCATCAGACACTCCTAAGGGCATCGCCGGTTCCTATTTTTTCCCACGCCGTCGGTTCCGCGTTCATGGAGAGCGCGTGTGTCAACAGATGGAGCGGGCACCCGTTATAAGTTACCAGCTAAATTGTTAAGAGACGCGTCGCGCCTAGGATCCATCGTCGTGGCTTTAATCGGCAGATTACCGTTCCCTTTCAGATCGTTTTTAGGCTCCTAAAGTAGATCCCTCAGCGCGCCGATACGGTCGACATTTGATAAGAGGAACAGACCAAACGAGGTTTCGAACGATCTATATTGAATTAGGTCACCATGCCGAGCGCCGCGGCGCCGTATCGGCGAATCGACGAGAAGGAAGATCCCGAGGCGCAGGTAGACTCAGAAGAGAGCAGCAAGGAGGAAGAACGGCCGTTAAATAGCACCGGCGGCGGCGGCGGCGGAGGTGGGGTTCCAAATTCCCCTAGCTCACCGTATAAACTCTCTTCCGCCTTACCCATCCCCACTTTAGGCCTCCCCGCTAGTAGCTCCTGGCCGCAACTATCCCCCGGCGCCACCACCGCTCTGATCGTGATCTCCTGGTACTGTAGCAACATCGGCGTGTTGCTTCTAAACAAGTTTCTTCTATCGAGTTACGGGTTCCGTTACCCGGTGTTTCTGACGCTCTGCCACATGTGCGCGTGTTGCACGATGAGTTACATCGCTATAGACCGCTTCGAGGTTGTTCCGATGCAGTTCATCTCGTCGCCACGTCAGATGCTCAAGATCGCCATGCTCTCCGCGATCTTCTGCTTCTCCGTCGTCTGCGGGAACATGTCACTACGATACATCCCCGTCTCTTTTAACCAGGTGAGCGATTCAACCAGGCAAACAGTTACAATCAGGTGAGCCGTTTCAACTAGCGAGCTGAAACTGGAGACTGCATCCTAGTTTCATTAAACCAGGTAAGAGTTTTTTGCAACATGCAGTGAAAGATTGGCAATAAGAGGACCCCACCTACTCCCGCAGAAAAATATCTACAACAAACAACATGCGTGAAGAGAGCTTGAAGTTCTAAGGCCAGGTAACGCGTCGTAACATGCTTGTGCGCTTTCAGCATCCTTCCACTATTTCCGTTCTCCCTCTCCTTCCTGTCCCCTCTCCCTCCTGTCCTCTCTCCCTCCTGTCCCCTCTCCCTCCTGTCCCCTCTCCCTCCTGTCCCCTCTCCCTCCTGTCCCTTCTCCCTCCTGTCCCCCCTCCTGTCCCCTCCCCCCTCCTGTCCGCTCTCCCTCCTGTCCCCTCTCCCGTCCTACCCCCATCTCTTCCTCCCCCCGGCCCCCCTCCCCCCCTCCCCTTCTCGCTTTCCTAACCCATCCCTCCCCCCATTTTCATCGAGAAACAACAACACCTTCGTCCCAGTAGTATCTAGCATCATCATAAACAGCCTTGATATCTGAACCCTACCAAACCCTCTCCCCTGCCATCCCTCATCACCTATCTCCACCGCATTTGAATCGTTTACCACAACCCCACTCTCTCCCCTGACACCCCTCACCACCTACCCCCACCGCATTCAAGTCTCACACCACCAACCCCCACTCTTTCCTCTGCCAACCCCCACCACGTTCAAATCATCTCCCCCCTCTTTCCCCCCCCCCCCCCCTTCCCTTCTTTTTCTCTACCTCCCCTTCCCCCGCCCTCGTTAATTGCACCCACAGCACGAGCGTTCGCCGCCTGCATAAGAACCCGTGCTGTAACCCCCCTCCTCTCACCTTCCCCTCCTTCCCTCCTCCCCTCATCCCCGCCGCCCCCACCTCCTTTCCCCTTCTCCGGGCAACCCCCCTCCCCCTCTCGCCTTCCCCTGCTTCCCTCCTCCCCTCATCCCCCGCCGCCCCCACCTCCTCCCCCTTTCTCCAGGCAATCGGTGTCATAACTGTCCAAACCGAAGCAGCGACCACCTATGGCAACCAAAGCACAACACTTCTCCTGGGCGACTTTTGAGTCGACTCAAAAGTCAAACCGAAGCAGCGACCACCTATGGCAACCAAATCACAACACTTACCCTGTCCCTCTCCCGTGTTCCCCTCCCTTCCCCTTTCTCCTGGCACCCCGCCCTTCACTGCTGTATTTGTCGTCATCATCACCTTTCCAACCGAAGCAACCACCACCTACCCACCCATACCAAACCTCTTTCCCCTCCTCACCTCCCGTCTCCTCTTCTCCTGGCTGTTGGAGCCACAACCCCGGCCTTCACTGCCCTATTTGTCGTCATCATCACCTTTCCAACCGAAGCAGCCACCACCTACCTCAACCATTCCAAACCCCTTTACCCTCTTTCCCTCCCTCCCTCTCCCTCTTTCCAGGCGATTGGAGCCACAACTCCAGCCTTCACCGCCCTATTTGTTGTCATCATCACATCACCTTCCAAACGTATCCCACCACCACCTACCCACCCAAACCGAACCCTTTCCCCTCTTTCCCTCCTCCCCCTCCCTCTCCTCCAGGCAATCGGCGCCACGACTCCAGCCTTCACCGCCCTATTTGCTGTCATCATCACCTTCCGAACCGAAGCAGCCGCCACCTATCTCAACCATACCAAACCCCTTTCCCCTCTCTTTCCATCCTTCCTCCCTCCCCCTCCCTCTCCTCCAGGCAATCGGTGCCACAACTCCAGCCTTCACCGCTCTATCCGTTGTCATCTCACGCTAAACACAACAATGTCCCTGTACATCTGGTGTTCCCCCTCCCGTGCGCACTCTCCAGGCAATCGGAGCCACAACCCCGGCCTTCACGGCCCTATTCGTCGTCATCATCACCTTTCGCACCGAAGCAGCCACCACCTACCTCACACTCGTCCCTGTCGTCCTGGGAATAGTCATAGCCAGCAACTCGGAACCTTCCTTCCACCTTCTCGGCGTGATCATGTGCTTCGCGTCGACCGCTGCTCGCGCGCTGAAATCCGTTGTACAGGGGCTGCTTCTAACGAGTGATAATGAAAAGCTACACTCCATGAACCTGCTGCTGTATATGTCGCCGCTCGCGGTAGTGATGCTGCTTCCAGCGAGTCTGTTTATAGAGGGGAATGTGCTGGCGGTGGTGGTGACGAAAGCAAGGGAATCTCCTTGGATTCTGGTTTACCTGGTGGCGAATGCTGCATTCGCCTACTTCACGAATTTGACGAATTTTCTGGTTACCAAGCACACCAGCGCGCTTACCCTTCAGGTGAGAGGGCGAAGGGCAGTGGGAACTAGACAGGAGGGAGTAGGGGAATGTTGAATCCTGGTGGCGAATGCTGCATTCGCCTAATTCACGAATTTGACGAATTTTCTTGTTACCAAGCACACCAGCGCACTTACTCTTCAGGTGAGAGGGGGGAAGGGACGGTTAAAGTGGGATTCGTGACAACAAAGGGGGAGTTGTGACAAAGAAGGGGGGAATGACAATGAAAACATAATCAAACTTGTCAAGGGTTGAGGTTGGGATTTATTCTGGAAGGGAGGTTATATTTTATGCAAAAGGGGTTGGGGGTTTATTCAACAAGGAGGGGTGGGGTTTATGCAAATACAGGGTCTGGGGTTTCGGCAGAAGAAAGGGTGGTTTAGGGTGGACGAGTGGGGGATTGGGAGGGATAAGGGGTTCTTGGGCATTATGACATGGTGCAGTTTATGACTGTATGGCACAGGTTGTGACAGTATGGCACAGGTTGTGACAGTATGGCACAGGTTGTGACAGTATGGGACATTGTGTAAGGTGAAACAGCATGTGGCAGTGAGCATGACATTGTGTTCCAGTGTGTGACAGTTTGTGACAAGCGTATATGACATTGTATCTGACAGTATACGAGTGCATGACTGTATGTAACATTGGGGCTTTAATGTTGGGGGTGGGATGTCGGCGATGGGATGGGATGGGATAGGCCAGAGAAATTGCGTTATGAAATTTGGTTCTGGGGAACTTGTTTGGGGGTTTGGCTTGGGGAACTTGGTAGGGGGATTTGGCATGGGGAACCTGTGAGGGGGATTTGGCATGGGGAACCTGTGAGGGGGATTTGGCATGGGGAACCTGTGAGGGGGATTTGGCCTGGGGAATTTGAAAGGGATTTGGCCAGGGGAACTGGGGAAGCGTGATTTTCCTTGGGGAACTTGGGACGCTTATTTGTCATGGGGAACTGGGGGAGGGGTATTTGCCATGGGAAACTGGAGGAGGAGAATTCACCCTGGCAATACCCAGGTATTGGGAATTATTAAAGCTGCGGTCTACATACTAAGTGGTGTTTTTTGGGTGTATTTTTTATGCCAACCCTTTCGTGCGGCCTGATTGGAGAACGAAGTCAGCATGTTTCAGAAACACCGCAGCAGGCGAACTCAGACAGGAAACGCGAATCCAGCCCAATTTCGTGCTGACGGGTGGTTTGGAGGAGGGTCTGCGGAAGGGCGGGAAACAACCTTGGGAGTTCGGTTTTGTGCTGAAAGAACCCCAACCCCCTCTCTCCACCCCTCTCAACCGTTAACTTTGCAGGAAAAGGGGCCGAGTCCAAAAACTGGTCACCCTGTTTTCAAGTGATAATCTCAGCCCTCCCGCTCGGAGTATGTAGGCCGCAGCTTTAAGGGAGGGACTGCCACAAACAAAACAGTTTCTTCATCTGTAACATTGTTTTCAAGAGCATTATCAATGCTTGTCTTCACTCCCTCCCCTCTGTCTTCCCCGCAGGTCTTGGGTAACGCTAAAGGAGTGGTTGCGGCAATCATATCAGTCTTGGTGTTCCGTAACCGGGTAACGGTTATGGGCATGGTTGGATTCGGCATCACTATTTGTGGAGTAATACTCTATAGTGAAGCGAAGAAGCGGGCCAAACACTGACACAGGTGAGCTTACAGCACATTAAAAACATACCGGTATGGAGTGTAGCAATCTTACGCGCATGGTGGGATCTGGTCATTATTATTATATCACGTGTTTGTTCCCTCGTTTTTTAGCACCTAGCTCCCTTCGTTTTTTTTTTTTTTTTTTTTTTCGGGCGGACGACAGCCACAGCAGAAACCTTACATTTCTTGTCGTCCTATCCTCATTCTATCAATGTTATTTTGGAGTCAGGTTGTGAGCTGCATAAAGGTGGCCATCTAGAAGGACCAGCTTCAAATGGTGGTGCTCCGCCTTAGTCTCGAAAGTTCCTAGGCATAGTTGCTCCAAGTTTGTTTGGTACAGGCTCTGTGGCGAGCACCCGAGCTAAAGTAGTGTCACGTGTTAACTCTGCATTGTTTCTGCGATTCTTTTTTACTGAGCATTTTGCTGAATAGGAAGCGATGCAGAATGTAACATGTATAGCCATATTAGGATATTGATAGCAAGGGTTTTGCACTCTGGTCGCCCGGCGTAAACGCGTATGACAAATGCCTTACTGTAGACCTCCTTGACCAGCGGAAAGAAACAGTCAAATTATGTACACCGCTATTCCTTCTCTTGCGGAAACGTTATTTTCCAAAAGGCGGACCTCCGGCCCTAGGTTCTTCTGACCTCAACAATCCCGTCTAAAAGACGGCATATTATCATGCCACAGCATCATGTCCAGACATCGAGGACGTCCATACATCTGCTGTGTCTACCACCGTCCATTCGTTACTCGTGTTTCCATTGGTGAGAGCGAATTTAGTCACCAGTTATATGGCTGTGCGTTCGCAAACCCTGCTAGGAGATCAGGTATCTCCGTCTGTCTTGCCGTGGCGTGACGTTCACGAAATAAGTCGGTCTGTCGGAGGAAGTGCACAACTCGATTACCTGTTGACTGGCAACTCCCGGTCGGTAGCATCAGCCCCGTTATGCCGTAACGTATGGTAAGCAGCCTTCCGGCTGCACCATAGGCAGCGAAAACCGTATGTAAGGCTCTCAGCTCCCTTCTTAATTCATACCAGTCTCCTTAGCTTTGCAAATCAGTCTTCAGTCGCCAAGAATCGTTGAAAGACTTCTAGTACCGCATCAGGCTCGGAAAGTACTTTCATCAGCATCCATGGCGCCCGCTGACGTGTCTCCGCTGCTTAGGGCCAACAACTCGGTGCCTTCCGAAGCCTACTATGTCGGAGAAAAGGAACCGGAGAGCAAGGCTCCGATTCATGCGGCTCATGAAGCTGTCAATTCTGAGAAGATGACGATGTCGAAAGGCGCGGAGGCTTTCTCAGAGGGAGAAGCAGGTTACGATGATTTGGAGTCAACGAGGAAGTGGAGCACAGGCCTTTGCTCGTGCATTCCAGGATACAACAGCGAGCATGCTCGTTCGGATTGCGAAATCTGTGAGTGTTGGTGATTACTTCATTTTGATCCCGTGTTCTCGGTGTGACGTACTCCGAATATTCCGTTTCACTTATTCCACGCGGTTTCGCGGCGTGTGTCCCTCAGGCTGCCTGGGCTGGTTCGCGCCATGCGTTCTGTTCGGAAGCAACATGGTTCGCCTAAGTGGTAACCACAGCGAGTTCTGCAACAACTGTTGCTGTTACGCGTCCCTGCTTATCCTCGGGGGTGTCTTTCTCCGATGCAACGTGCTCGCGCCAATCAGGTCGTGGTCCAGCCGATCCGCCATTCGAACACAATTCGGCCTTCAGGTTCGTTTTGATTGAAACTGTCACAAGCTTTCAAACCACATCCGTGGTCTGCCCTCAATCTGTCATGCTGAAGTTGTATTACTGTCTAATCTAAAGCAGCGTTCTTACCCGTTTGTTGTTCTGCTTTGTGTGTGTTGCCTCTGCTGTGTGTGTGTGTTGCCTCGTATAACCAATCCAGAGCGGAGCTGAAAGAGTGACAAGCGACCCATCAGATGGTTGTGATCGGTGCTGTGACTGTTTTCTGCATTTCATCTGTCACCGATGTGCTCTATGCCAGGAGGCAAGGGAGATTAGAAGGCGGCTCCCTTTGTCAGGCCCTAATAGTTCTTCTGCGTCAGGAGTGGTTGTTGCTCCTCCCTCCGTGCAAGCCATGAATCACTGAGGATAATGCTGTGTTTTGTGTACCATCTGTATATTGCTATCAGCATTCCCTTGAATCTGCAAATGCTCTCAAAATTGCAACTGAACCCTTACGCTAACCTTATTACCGGTAATAAGTTTGCTGCACACAGAATGTGGAGGTTGGTTGACAATTGTGGTGCCATGCCAAAGTCTTCATAGTTCCTAGGCATGGTTGCTTTATTTGGTATGTGCTTTATGGTGAGCACGCAAGCTATGTAGCGTCATTCATTCACTCTTTGCATTGTTTCACCCCATGTGATTTTTTTTTCGTCTCAAGCATTGTTGTGCTGAATAGGAAGCGATGAAGAAATCCACAATGTATAGCCTTATCAGGATATTGACAGCAAAAGTTTTGCGCTCTGGATAACCGTACTCTTGGCGTGAACGCGCATGACGGAGACATCACTGTAGACCTCGACAAGCAGGAGAAAAAACAGTCAAACAACACACACCGCTATTTCTTCCCTTGCGAACTGTGAAATTTTCGTAAGTCGGACCTTCTGGAACCTTGGGTTATTCTCTTCTTGCCTCAACCATCACACCTAAAAGAGGGCATTCCGTGATGCCATTCAAACCAAGGTTGATTACGTCCATACGTCTGCTTAGCGTGTAGCGCTGTCCAGTCGTTACTCGTGTTTCCATTGGTGAGAGAGAACTTTTTTAGTCACCAGTAATATGGCTGTGCGATCGCTAGCCACGCCAGGCAATCAGGTGGGATATCTCCGTGTTTGGAGATGATGACACCCCATGCCACGTCCGTCTGTCTTGCCGTGGCGTGACGTTCACGGATTCAGTCGGAGTGTTGGAGGAAGTGCTCACCTGGATTACCTGTTGACTCGCAACTACTGGTCGGTAGCACCTCCCCCGTTATGCCGGAAAGTACGGTAAACAGCCTTGCGGTTGCACCGGCAGCGAAATAGGTATGTAAGGCTCTCAGGTCCTTTTCATTTGTAGGTACCAGTCCCTCGGGTTTTCTTGTACTCGATATTTTCTGCTGCTTCGCAGTTACTTGACTGTCAGTCTTGAGTCGCCGAGAATCGTCAATTGACCTAGGGTCCGACCCGGAAAGTACTTCATTAGCATCCATGGCTCTGGTTGACATTTCTCCGCTGCTTATGGGCAACAAATCGTTTCCTTCCGAAGCCTATGCCGGAGAGACAGAGCCTGAGAGCAAAGCTCCGACTCATGTGGCTACTAAAGATCTCTAATTTGAGAAGATGGCGATAACAAAAGACGCGGAGGCTTTTGAGACTGGTGCAGATTACCATGACTTGGATTCAACGAGGGAGTGGAGCACAGGGCTTTGCTCGTGCATTCCGTGCTACAATAGCGAGCACGCTCGTTCGGATTGCAGAATCTGTGAGTGTTGGTGACGACTTTCACAGAGTAGCTGTCATTTTCATGATCTGTTCCCGATGTGACTTACTTCGACTTATTCCGTTCATTGTTCTTCGCGGTTTCCCGACATGTGTCTCCCTCAGGCTGCCTGGGCTGTTTTGCGCCATGCGTGCTATTCGGAAGCAACATGGTTCGCCTAAGTGGTAACCAAAGCAAGTACTGCAACAACTGTTGCTGTTACGCATCCCTGCTTATCCTTAGGGGTGTCTCGCGCCAATCAAGACATGGTCCAGCCGATCCGAAATTCGAACACAATTCGGCCTTCAGGTTAGTCTTGAGTGAAACATAACACAACCGTTCAAGCCACATCCCGTGGTCTGCCCTCATCCTGTTGTGCTGAAGTTGTATTACTGTCTAAAGCAGCTTTTACACCCGTTTGCTGTTCTGCTGTGTGTGTGTTGCCTCGTATCCCCGATCCAGAGCGGAGCTGAAAGTGTGACAAGCGATCCTTCAGATGGTTGTCATCGGTGCTGTGACTGTTTTCTGCATTTCATCTGCCACCGATACGCTCTATGCCAGGAGGCAAGGGAGATTAGGAGGCGTCTCCCTCTGTCAAGCCCAGAGAGTTCTTCTGAGTCAGGAGTGGTTGTTGCTCCTCCCTCCATGCAAGCCATGAACCGTAGATTGCCGGCCGAAGCCTTCTATGTCGGAGAGAAGGAACCTGAGAGCAATAAAGATCTCAAACTTGAGATGAAGCCGGTTTCGAAAGATGCGGAGGGTTTTGAGAGTGAAGCTGACTTCCTCGCCTTGGAGTCAACGAGGGAATGGAGCACCGGGCTTTGCTCGTGCATTCCAGGCTCCAATAGCGAACACACTCTTTCGGATTGTGAAATGTGTGAGTGTTGCTGACAATTTTTTCACTACCCTCATCACAATCCCTCCTGTTATGGAAACTGAATCCATTGTTTTTTTGCTGTTTTTCCTTGTTTCTCCTTCAGGCTGCATCGACACCTCCGCACCATGCGTGCTGTATGGAGGCAACGTGGTTCGCCTGAGTGGTAACCAGAACGACTTCTTCAACCACGGCCTTTGTTATGCATCGCTGATTATTTTTGGGAAATTGTTTCTCCGTATCAACGTGCTTGCGCCAATCAAGACATGGTCCAGTCGATCCGCCATTCGCACACGGTTCGGCCTCCAGGTACGTCTGAACAAGTTTCTAAACCAGATCCTTGTCCTGCCATGCTTATTAGTGCTGAGACTGTATTCCACTTTACAGGAACACCCTTTTCCTGTTTCTGTTCCTCTGTATGTATGCGCCTCGTTCCCCAATCCAGAGCGGAGCTGAAAGAGTGACAAGCGACCCTTCAGATGGTTGTCATTGGTGCTGTGACTGTTTTCTGCATTTCATCTGTCACCGATGTGCTCTATGCCAGGAGGCAAGAGAGATTAGGAGGCGTCTCCCTCCTTTGTCAGGCCCTAGTAGTTCTTCTGGGCCAGGAGTGATTGTTGCTCCTCCCTCCGTGCAAGCCATGAACCATTGAGAATATTGCAGTGTATGTTCTAACAGGGTTCATAAATCAATGTTGATGCTCCCAGATTTGTCAATCGATTATATATGGACGCCATACCATTATGTTCATCCCCCCCCACCTCCCCCCCATATTCATGGCGTACTAACGAGGTACAATGTCTCCTAAACCCTGTCTCAGCTGTCACACCTGCTGCCAATGCAACCTGCAAACGGCATGATGGATATCAGGAATAGCCCTATAAGAGGCAATTCATCACGACCACTTCCACTTCTATATATTATGTTAGCTACTGATAAGCATTATTACGAGGAGATCCTGTTAGGCCCGACAGCCTAAGTCCGCTAAAGAATTAGCGGGGTCGACTAAGTCGAGGGTGAAATGCGGCGAAAGACTTTGGCGAAAGAACTATTGGCGAAATAGGCGAGGAAGTTATTGAGTAATTGAAGAAGAGTTGAACGCGAATTGGTTGATATTGGTGGATACAAGAAAGGATGATATAGCATACAAGGTCGAATGTCGAAAAGTACTTCGTGAGACTAGAAGTTGATGTAAGAAAAGTAGAGTGCCACGTGGCACTAGGAAATCCAAGAAGATAAGGATAAGGATGGGGTTGGGAGTTACTGTGCAAAGTGAGCACTAAAACCCCCTGTAACACTACCCCCCTCCCAAGGAGGCGACGTCCGCGGCGCCTGCAGACTGAAGGTACGTTTGGAGGCAAGCGCTGTCAGGAGACAGCGAGGACGAAGGAACCCAGCTGTCGTCTGCCGCGTCGTAACCAAGAAGTCGATGAAAGAGGCACCCCCCTGGAGACGGCAACGGTGCCTGAGGATGCGCTGGATCTGGTAGTCGGGCTCGTCGGTGTCAACAGCTACCGGCAGTGGAGTGCGATCACGGCCCGAGAAGGTGGCGTTGGGATCGGTGTAAGGACGAAGAAGCGACACGTGGAATGACGGGTGCATGCGGAAACGAGCGGGAAGGCGAAGACGGTATGCGACCGGACCTAGTGCGCGCTCAATGACGAATGGACCAATGAAACGAGGGCGAAGCTTGCTGTCCTGTGGCAGTCGGAGGTTGCGACTATCGAGAAGGACATGGTCGCCAACTGAAAACGACACCTCACGACGACTGCGGTTAGTGGTGCGTGCCATGCGTGCATTTGCGAACTCAAGGTGCTTCCTCACGTGATCATGAATGAAGGTGAGATGCTGGTGGAAGTTGTCCGCACGAGGGACTGTGGGTGTGAGATCGACACGAGTGGGGACATTGAGGTGCTGACCGTACAATGCGAAGAACGGTGACATGCCTGTGGACGAGTGGTGCGTGTTGTTGTAGGCGAACTCGGCCATGCTCAGCTTCTTGTCCCATGCGGCTGCGTCGTGCATCGTGATGCTGCGAAGAAACAGCTCCAAGGTCTGGTTCACACGCTCGGTCTGTCCGTCTGTCTCTGGATGGTACGCAGACGACATGGCTAAGAGAGTCCCAAACAGTGCAAAAAGCTGCTTCCATAACTTTGAAGTGAAACGAGGGTCGCGGTTTGAGATGATGGAATCTGGAACCCCGTGCAGTCGGACTACGTTATCTACGAACAGCATCGTTGCTTCCTCTGCTATGACCTTGCCGTGCGTGGGGATGAACTGCGCTGCTCGAGAAAACTTATCCACTACCATGAAGATGGCGTCGTGACCCCTAACTGTGCGCGGTAATGCCATGATGAAATCCGTGGTAACAACCTGCCAAGGGCGGTCGGGCGGTGGAATCGGCTGCAAGAGTCCTGCTTTGCGCTGGCGAGAGGACTTCGTACGCTGACACGTGACGAACGAGCGAATGTAATCCTCTACGTCTACCGCAAGCCCTGGCCAGTAGTACATACGACTAAGCGTCTTAGCTGTCTTATCTGCTCCGAAGTGCCCTGCACTAACTACGTCGTGGGTCTCTGAGAGAAGGAGCGGTCGAAGAGGGCGGTAGGCAGGAACCCAAATCCGTGTGATACCCTTCCGTATGTAGACACTACCCTGCACCTCTGCTCCTGCGGGTGGCTGCGGTGTGAAGTCGGGATCTACTATGTAACTGTGCTCGAAGAGTGCTGTGAGAAGTGGATGGCCGGCAGTGAGTGTGAGACTAGCGAGCTGGAAACTAGGGCGAGTGAGTGGATCTGCAGGGTTGCGCACGCCTGGCTTGTACTCTATCCTGTAGTGGAAACTCCCCTCCATGAACTCCATCCATCTAGCCTGGCGACGACTCAGTTGCGGCTGCGACTTGAGAAAGCGAAGCGAGCAATGGTCCGTGTGTATAACACTATCTGCCCCCTCTAGGTAGCACCTCCACACCTTATACGCATGGATGATCGCGAGTGCCTCCTTGTCGTGGATCGGTTAGTTCAGCTCAGCTCCCCTAAGCTTGCGCGAATCGTACACTATCGGCTGCAACCCGCGGCCCTGGTCCTGAAGAAGCACTTCTCCTATGGCCTGATCTGAAGCGTCGGTCACTACAATGTATGGGCGAGTGGGATCAGGGTACGACAATGTTGGTGAAGACGTGAGTGACTGCTTCATCTGCTCGAACGCCTGCTGCTGCGCTGGACCCCAAACGTACTCTACGCCCTTCCGAAGTAGGTCGGGGAGTGGACTAGCTATCGATGCGTAACCCTGAACGAAACGACGCTAATAATTTGCGAATCCGAGGAAGCTCTGCAACTCCTTAACTGAGGTCGGTGCCACCCAATCCTGTACTGCTGCGATCTTCTTTGGGTCGGTCCTAATGCCACTAGTAGATACTGTTAACAGGAATGGAGTGTTGGCCCCGCCCTCGCTTGGGCAACGCCGACGACTTGGTCGGATGTACGGGAGTAGCAACCGACCGTTCATAGTGGGAGAGCTGCTCGACAAGCTTCGTCGAGCTGCAGGGGACCGCTGTGGTGTTACTATCGACTACGGAGCTCGATAGCTGCATCTGACTGGTCTGGGCGACGGGTGGGACGTCGACCACGTACTGCAGTTCGACCGGGAGGTCGACGGAGCAGTCCGTCGACCTGACAAGTGAGCAGCGGTCGACGAGGGGAGCTCGGCGACAACCGCTGATGATTGTGGTCGACGAAAGGGGTCCGTCGACCAGGGGGTAGCTTGACGGGAGTTGTGGTCGACCAGAGGAACCTGGTGGTCGCCCGGAAGCACCTGGTGGTCGACCGGGTCGACCGGGTAACCTGCTCGACGAGTTCTGCGGAGGCACGCGAACGTCGTCGAGGCTGCGATGGCGCAGGCGACTACAGGCTGGTATCCCGGAGTCGATATGGCTCGTCAGGCGCAGACAACAGCCGACGAATGCCCAACGAGGCAAGTCGGGCCAATCGTCTGCGCACACCTGCGAGCGTGCACACTGCTGTGTTCTACGGGGCAACACTGGACAGCCGCTCTGCTGCAGTGTTGGCACGCCGTCGACCTACTCCGTTGGCAGGTCACCTTTCTGCAGTGCTAGCGCGGCTCCTCTACGCAACTCTGGCAGGCGATCGACTGAGCAGTGCTGGCGGTCGACCAGGCTAGCAGCAGGGTTGCTAGGTGCCTGATGTAGTCATTCTTGTCATCTCTTGTGGTATCATTCTGGAATTCCAACTTTGCTAGTGTAAACTCTTGCCAATTTCTCCCGTGAATGTGCAAGCACTAAGGAACCAAGCAAAGCTACGATCACCTCTAGTAGTTCGTGCCAACCCCCATAGTCTAGCTCACTACCGTTGTAGAGTGAATCTTTGCATGGTGCGGTGAGCGTGGATCGAACACGCGACCTTCAGATAGGAGCCGACTTTTGCACCTACTAAGTCGTTCGTAGGCCGGCAGCAGCGATAGTCGCCATGGTCGACCCTGTAGTTGATGCGGGTATAGCGGACACCTTGGAGGCACGTTTGGCTGACGCGAGGAGACGCCACGCGGATGGCGAGTACGGGACGATCCCTTTCGTGATCGTCGAGTTGGGCATCCGGTCGCAGTGGGCGACGGAACACCCTTCCCGTCCTGCTTCTCCTCGACCGGTGCGCAACAAAGGTGGCGTCGACGACGAGGTCGACGGTGGTGCACGAGTCAGCGGCAGCGAAGGCACGAGGGAGAGAGGAGTGATCAAGGTCGACGGTGGTGTCGACGGAATTCAGACGCGAGTGCAGCGGTCGACGACTGCTGCAGGGAGCTCTCGTGCCGACGTCAATGTTCGACGCCGTTCTCCTCCACGAAGTGGTGGAGGGCTCTCGGTGACGACACACGTGACGGCGGGTGGGATTGCACCGGCGTATGGCTACTTTAAGTTCTCGCCGGACCGGATCGCCATCGCACCGCTGCAAGGTCGACGGGACCTCATCACCTAGAGGGAGTCGATTGAACCTCAGCTAGAGGTCGCCGGGCTGAAGGGCTTCGCCGATGGCACCGTGCCATTTCCGCCCGAGGAGGACGTCGAGCTACGCGGGGAGTTTTGTTCAGCTCACCAGCTCACCTTCATGGTCATCTCGAGGTGCTGCTTGCCAGTGGTGCAGCTAGCGCTCAGGAGCTGTCGAGAGCGACTGGATGCTGGTCACCAGGAATGGTACTTCATCATGTCGACGTACCAGGCCAGGGACGACCTGTACATCGAACAGCTAGAGGAGAAGATGACTCACATTCGAATGGGCGAGCAGGAGTCGGCGACGGAC